TTCCCCGCCGAGTCCGTCCCGCCGGCGGAGAGCTGTTTCCCACCAGGCTGTTGCCTGCTGGAGCCTGGTTTCCTCACTGGAAAAAAATAATACATAATTTGCTCTTCTACCTAAACGCCCCCAGTCCTCAGCTGCTGGCCCAGCACCCAGTGGCCCCTTAGGAGCCCCTTGCTGCGGGCAACCTCCTCGGCACAGCCCCTGGAAATGACTTTTTTCCCCTTTTTCTGTTAAGGGGAGATGTCAGAGCCGCAACGCAGCCTCCGCCCGGCCAAGTCTGAGCCGAGTCTTGCCGCGTCGTGTTTTCTGACTCCTTTCTCAAGGGAATTCCTCCCCTTTCTCGGGGTAATTCCCTCCTGTCCTGCAACAGCGCATCCTGTGATTTTGGAGTCAATGCAATACTTCTCCTTGCCTTCCCGTAGGGAGGTTTTGAGCATCGCCGGTAAAAGGCCGCTCTGCTCCACCTCAGAGCTAGCTGCGCTTTGCTGAGGGACAGGAAGATTTCTGCAATAGCTGCAAGAAGCCCATTTACCTCTCCAGAGGGTGACGAGCAATAGGCAGCACCGAGACGTAAAAATCACTGTCGTTAACGGTTACACAGGCAGGTCTTGGGCTGCCCTGTCCTGCTCGTCCCGCTTCAGCGTCGCAAGCTGGCACGTAACACGCAGATTCGTCCCCGGATTTATGCAAAGAGGATTCTGAATTTGCAGGAGACGTATTCAGCACCCCGCTGTGCGCCGACTCTTGGTTGGGGTTATAGCGCAGAGGAAAGTCAAGGCTAAATTGCGTTTCGGATGTGAAAAGTGAGGGTTAAAAATTGCATCCGCGTTTCCTTGCCTTTGCCAGTTCACAGAGCGGGGAAGGAGAAGTCAGCGGCTGCGGCGAGTCGTTTTGAAGGCTTAGAACTGATTCTTTAAAACTACGTGTGTTTTCTTGTGAAGAATAAAACCACTTCAAAATTAGCAGCCTGTGTTAGGAGCTGAACTCGTTAGACTGTGTTAAAGCCATTTTAACCGCATAAAAAGAAGCTGCCGAAACACAGAAAGATTTGTCCTTATTTTAGGGGAGGGGGGGCGGATTAGCTAATGAGTCTCATCCCACAAATTCCTCTTCGAAACAAAGGAAACGATTACAAGTTGAAAAGGCAGGCGAGCTTATTGGCCCTTTTTTGAAACGAGGAAGAAAACCACGAAGTTTCGCTCTACTGGTTCTGAATCTCGAAGGCCACAATTAAGTTGAAACCGTTAAGTTCGGTCCCTATTTACTGTATTTAAAAAGTTAGCTTTCTTTAAATAACATTTCTGGTAAACTTTTTCAGACTTTAATCCATTCCCCCCCCCCACCAAACCTTGCCC